AAGTATTAGACTTCAATGTTGGAAGAAGTTGTGATGATTCAAGATCTTGCACTTCATTTACTTCTTGATTTGACCAATTAAGATGTTGATATATGTTGTGAGAACATGTAGTATCTTAGATGGTATTGTCTCAGTCAAAAAATGGTTGGAATCACATATTGATTTTATGAATGAGAATGTAATTCATTGGGTGTGCAAATAAGTAAGGAAATATATTTTAAAGGTTATAGAATTAAAGGACTTTAGAGTGACAGGTTAAATCCCCCAATTTGATTTATAATTTTAGGTTTTGATACGAGATGTTAGCCCCAGATGGAGGGAAAAGAGGGAACTCTAGAGTGAGAGCTAGTATCTTCCCTGCCTAGCCGGTCTTCAAGAGCATTCAAGCTATAGATTAACCAATGTTCTTTATAGCATCTCTAGTAAGGGTAAAGAATACTGCTGCTCCTATTTGGCACAACACATTTAGCATACTTCCACAATAGAATTTCTATATTTATCACTGATTCATGATAAGGAAAAAGATATTTTATTTATATTGCCTTCATCTTGCAGGTATTTTAGTTATGTTAATTGTTTGCTTACTTTATTTTCAATTATCAAAAATTAATTTATGTGGCCTAAAAAAAAAAAAAAAAAACTACTTTAGCATCTTAAGTTTAAATAAAAAATATTACTAAGTAAAATTTTGTTATCTAAAATTAGTCATCCATGTGGGATCAATGTTCGAGACTTAATCAGAAAGTTCTATATTACTTGATAACGATACATATACTTGTGTAGTATCCCATATTGAAATATTAAAACTGCATTCTTATTTGCTTCATAGTGAAAGATTTACCTAGCTCTTGCTTTGGATCAAGTTTTTGGCTTTATTGCAAATTATGAATATCTATTAAGGAAACTAATTGCATACATCATATTTTACATCTATCTATATACAAAATTGGGATCAATACTGTGTAAATGAGGTAATATCATTTATAAGCTTAGTAGTTTTTGAAGGTGAAAAGTGCTTAGCTAGGAATTTTCTGAGTTAATTCTCCTCAAGTTATAATAGAGTTAGGTGCTAATGATTTTAACCACATTTTAGCTTTATCCCTTAAGAAAAAAAGAAAAAGTCTAAGTCAAACAATATCATTTGAGACACCATCGTACGTAAATGTAATGCATAATTTTAAAAAACTAGCTAGATGTAAGTTTGGATTCTCAGATTAAGTTCAACTAAACTGGCTGTTTTGTAAAATTTCTAAGCCAAAAGTTTCATCGCTTCCCCGACAACAACACCAAAAACTTGATCCCGACATAATATGTGAGTGCTTAATGTGTAATTACTTCAATTTAAAACTAAAAAAACAACGTAAAAAACAGGACTCCCACTGCTCGTATGTGCTTGCACCCTTCATTCTCAACTGAGTGCTATCATTTCTCTTCACAATTTAATTTTACACATTAGAGATACTACTCAAGTGCATGTATCATTTCAAGTAATATAAGCCTTTCTTTTAGTCCCCAACTATCGATCCCATGAGGACGGAAAAACTCTTTTTATTAACTTAGTTAAATTCTACTTAAATTACATGTAACTTATCTAGGAATTAAGATCAGAAATTAAAGTTGATATTGTATAATGAAGTAACTAATACCTACAAATTTTATTTTTAAACTTAAAGAAAATGCTAATTGTTTCTAAACTAGTTTTATGTAGAAGAGTTTAAATTGTATGAAAATCCTTCTCCTTGCAATGTGATTATAATTAGTGTAAGAATCAACTGTTTAAAAATTTTAAATGTAGTTTTGTGACAAATAAGAACATACTTATTCTTTACTCTTTTTCAAATGCATAAAGAACATTAATTAATTTAGAGAAGTTCTTAAGAACTTAAATCAAGGACGAATATATATATATAATATATATATATATATATTTGTGTCTGTGCAGCGCATTTAGAGTGATGGATGGATAGATATACGCTTCATTCGATCGCGTGCCTTAGCGTCCCTTTTCGCGAGACAGCCGGCCCTAGCCCTCTCTCACGCGAAATTCGCTGCCGGAGCTCCTCGCAGGCGAATGTTCTACCGCCGGTGCTATCCTCTGTGCCGAAGCACCTATCTGAGGTTTTTTAGAGGGAGCATTTGATCTCTCTCCTGCGTCTGCCGATTTTCGCACGGGTCTTTCGCTCACGCCTGCGACGATCCGCCGGCCTCCTTCTACACCAGCGGCCAGCTCCCGCCGGACCCAGTCCTATCTCACTTGAAACCTCAATACGAAGGTTTCTTGGAGTTGGATTTTGCAATTGGAATATTTTTCCACAGCTCGAGTGTCTGCTGTGAATTGAGCTAAAGTTGTTTACCATTGATCTCCCAAGGGTGAGTAATAGTGATGGGTCCTTTGCTCTGGAAAAGAAGCGAGCTTTTTTTCCTCATTCTCTATGCAGTGACATTCTATGTTATTGTCATTCAACGAACTCTGTACTTATCCCATGATCATTCTAGAGAACTTTACAGTCTTCGTCGAGGGTGGATGTTTAATCGCCTAAATGACCTTTCTGATGCACAATGGAGAAACTTTCATGGAAATTTGCCTATTCTTACCTTTGTTTTCGGAATTTTCACTTTTGGAGCAATTGCCTTGAGAAACCAATTTAACTTGAAAGGGAGGGGGATGTCAGTTGTCTGGTTTATAATGTCGTTGGCATACATATTACACTTACATGGAGCATGTGTAGTGTTTGTCCTCTCAATTGCTTCAGTGAACTTTTTCCTGGCAAAGATTTTGGCAAAATCAAAATTTTACTTGTATGTGCTCTGGTTTTTCAACATATCAGTTCTTTTGTTAAACCGCATCTATGAAGGATACTCTTTCTCTTCATTTGGGAATCAATGGGCATTTTTGGACAATTATCGCGGCTCTTTTCGATGGCAAATCTGCTTTAATCTTGTCGTTTTAAGAATGCTGAGCTTTGGATGCGACTATCATTGGTCATTAAAGGAGACTCAGTTTGACCAAAAGAAGCACATCATTCATTGCTCTATTTGTTCTTCTGGAAATTCGTGCTACCACCTTCTACAGGAAAAAAGGCTTCATTTTTGCCAATACTCATTCATCAAATATCTTGCCTACTTAATCTACGCTCCACTTTACATTGCTGGGCCAATTGTGAGCTTTAATGCATTTGCTTCACAGCTAGACGCACCTAAGAAGCGTTACTCAGTTGTAAATGTGATTTTCTATGGATCAAGATGGGTTCTTTGTTTTGGATTAATGGAAACAATGACTCATTTTTTATATTACAATGCCTTTGCAAATAGTGGCTTATGGAGGCAATTTTCACCCCTGGAGATCTTCATTATTGGATATGGGGTCATAAACTTTATTTGGCTGAAATTCCTACTTATCTGGCGCTATTTCCGGTTTTGGTCCTTGGTTGCAGGAATCGAAACCATTGAAAACATGCCCATGTGTCTCAATAATTGTTATAGCTTGGAGACCTTTTGGAAGTCTTGGCACGCATCTTTCAATAAATGGATTGTTAGATACATGTACATTCCTCTTGGCGGTTCTCAGAAGAAGCTCTTCAATATGTGGATTATCTTCACTTTTGTTGCATTATGGCATGATATAGAGTGGAAGCTTCTTTTGTGGGCGTGGCTTACATGTATATTTTTTATCCCAGAATTAGTGATCAAATCATCCATTTCTTCATTTACGCCTAGAAGTGCTGCTGGCAAGTTTGTGCTTCGAGAAATGAGCGCTGTAGCTGGGGCTGTTACCATTACATGTCTTATGGTGGCAAATCTCGTTGGCTATGTTGTAGGACCTTCAGGAACAAGTTTGTTGATTTCCCGGTTGTTTAGAAGGGATGGCTTTCCTGTGCTGGTTTTCATATTTTTGTCATTCTATGTAGCAGTAAAGCTCATGTTCCATATCAGAGATATTAAACAAAATACCAAGTAAAGGCTGAAAGATTTGGGCTCATCGTCTTTGTAGCATTTATATGATATTTTATTGGTGTATGATGTAATTGAATGAGCCAATAGTAGAATGGTAAGCGATAGATCATATCTTATGTGAACTAAGTTTATAAGCAATTAGGAGTTTTTTTTTTAATTTACTTGATGCTGAACTCAGAAAACATTTTTCCATACATATATATTTATATTCCGGGCCGAGTACTCAAATTAGTTGATAGGTCATCTGTTTGTCAGTTGTAATTCTCCATTGGTCTAAGGTTCGATACCCCCTGAGTGTAGGGTGTGGTACTCAAATTCTTAGGCTCATAAATATAAGTACGAGCATATGTGGATATTTAATCTATTTTCTCCTCTCTATCATATTAATCATTAAATTTAAATTAGTTAAATTAATTAACAATTATTTGTTGTTTAATGCAGTTATTCATTAATGTTTTATTATTATTATTAAAAGGTTTAATTAACATATTAATTACTTAAATTATTATTATTCATTTAATTAATTCTTTAATTATTTGAATAAAATATTACTTTGTTAATTAATCTTATTAATTGATTAAGTGAAATATCCATCAATTAAATAAGATGTATTAATTAGTTTCCATAAATTTTTAAAATTTCAATTAAGCTATTAATGTTTTAATTAATTAGATAATTAATCATGGGCTCTGTTAAGGTTGGTTTTAAAAAAAATTGTAAAGTATTAAGTTAGTCTTTTCGGATAGAGATTTTTATAAGGAATTGAATATTAATTAAGATAATTCAAAGTAGATTAATGTTATTATAGTTTATTTTAAATAATTTAAAGGAGATTAAATATAATTTATCATGCATGGGTTTCGACCATAGGGAAGAACAAGAAAAAGGTTCTCTTTATGGATTAATTTGTTAATAAATTAAAGAGAAAAAATAAGTTAATTATTTAACACAAAAATTAAATTATTCGCAACTTAGGAGTAATTCACTTAATAATGTAATATTTAACATAAAGTAAATAAGTATGAAGTAAGTTAAAATTAAAACATACAACATACATGTTTTGGTTTTAAGGCTAGGCATGTATAGGTCTCGGTTTTGAGTAATTAAGCATAGGAATGTGTGATTTCATGTAAAAAGTACGGATACTTGCATTAGAAAGTAATGGGATGTAAAGTCCTATGGTTTGATACCATAAATTTCGGTTTTAGCCTAAAGGTAAACATGCAATGTATAAAGGTTAACATTAGCTACATTCACCAACAACATGGCTTAAAATTTATATGGTTATTCACATATGTTTTCAGCTTGGGGTTAAATAAAATAAGAACTTGATCAATTTTTATGTAAAGTATAAAACACAAATAAGATTGAAAACCTAATAATTCAAACATACAATATTAAGTGATTGAGCACAATATGAATGTTCCAATAGGTGTGAACACTTGTATCGGACTCCAAAAGGAGGGTTTATCATAGTACGGTAGCTCAAGAGAACATATGTAGCGTCCTGAACAATTGAGCATACTATGGATGTTCCAACAGGCGTAAACATTCACATTGTGCTCCTAGAGTGATTTAGCATGTTACAATCGCTCAAACAAACATATGTAGCAAAAGTCCAAATATTAGGACATGTGACTTGTAGGCTCGATGTGATTGCAACAAATGTGACAATCAAATGCAAAAGACAAGCAAGGTGTGTTATGTATGCATGAACATGCTAAGTACAACATGCAAAGCAATCAGACTCGACCAAACAAAGATATATTGCGGGACTGACCGATATCGGTCGACTGATCAAGTCATTCGACGAGGGATGACTTATCGAATCAAACATTATCGGGCAGCCGGTCTAATGTGGGTGACCGAGCCGAAAGATATCGGTAGACCAATGAAGGCATCCAATTAGGGACAATCAATTAGAGTGAATGATGCCGGGTGGCCGATCAAGTCGACCTTAAAGTGAGCAGTCGAGTCGATCGATATCAGTCAATCAATCTTGGCATCAGATGAGGGAAAACCGATCTGACTAAATGATATCGGGCGGTTGGTCAAACTGGGCTAATGCAGGTGATCAAGCCAATCGATATCAAGGTTTATAATGAGAGACAACCAATTTGATTGAACGTCTGGGCTAATGCAGGTGATCAAGCCAATCGATATCAGTTGCTCGATCAAGGTTTATAATGAGAGACAACCAATGTGATTGAACGATGAACGTAACTGGGCGGCCATCCAAGTCATCTAAGGCAAGAGGTGGAGCCGAAAAGCATGCAAAATCGCATTTTAAGATGAAGATTCTAAGGAAATAATCACATGCAAGAGACATAAATACCTAATCACATCTCAATGGCAATTTGAAATGCCCCTAGCGATCTCGCATAGGCTCTAGGTTGGTTGTGAAGTCATAGCTATTGTCTGTTACACAATATAATGGAGGGCCTACCTCTAATCGTTTGGCAAAAAAAAGCACAAACAAAATTTTCTACGAAAGGAGAACTTGACAAAAATGATGATTTTCTTCACAGACATAGCCTTCAAGGCCAAGGGAATAAGGATCCAAGGATTTCCTCATTCTCTAGATCGAAGTGACTTCAACCCACCAAGGACTGAAGCCACCAAACGATCACGAGATTACAATGCTCCTGGGGCAATTAGGTTAATGTAGTAAGGATCAAGGATAAAATGTCCAACAAAAATGACTCTCAAACTATCAACCTCCTCTAACATAGAAACCTAGCCTTTGTTCTCTAAAAATAGACCTAAAAGGCTTGCTAGGAATAAAATTGCAAGGGTTTAGCAGTTATCTCACCTACATGGTGGTTAGAGACGCGCTCTCTCAGCCTGCTCTGAGCTTTGACCATGCACCGGTGATTATTGCTCCACTCCTCTAGAGATGGAAGAAGCTCACCTTCTGAAGGATAATGGCCTAGCTCTATAAAAATCCTTCACATTCCTCTATTTTCTCTAGAAAATGAGAAATGTCGATGTAGTAAATTATGAGGAAGAAGAAGAAAATGAAGAAGATGATGAAGAAGAAGAAGAAAGAGAATGAGAAAATGGAAGAAGTCCTTCATAAAATCTCCAAAAGCACTCAAGAACTTTCCTTCCGCTCTCCCAAGCTATCCACAAACTTCTCCAGGGTGAATCCTCGACCCCCCACACTTTCAACATTCCTGGTTATTCATCCTCTCTCCTATGCATAGTCCATTGGATTGAGGTCGTCTAGCTGCTCTTCTAATGAGTTTCAATAAAAAAAATGGTCACCCTTTGGTTTCTTCCATAAATAAAAAAATAACTAGGTAAAAAAATCCCTTATCCGGCGATTAGAAGCTCGTTAATGGCAGATTTTTTGGGACCAACCATTTGAAACACGTGAACTAGATGAACTGGTGAGGTCACACCTAAAATCTGACATAATTACGTCGAACTCTCTTTCTGGACAACATGAACACACTTTCCTCGTGCATGGTTACATCGGTTTAATGAAGTTCCGGTCATGTTGGGCTAAGGCGTGGCCACACTTATTTTAGCAGTGGTCACACCACTTCAAAGAAGTCACACCCAGACATGGCTTAAAGTGTGGCCATGCTTATTTTAGGTGTGGTCACACCAAGGGTAAGGTGTGGCCATGCTCATTTTAGGGGTGGTCACACCACCCCATTGCTTCTCCCATCTTCTAAAGTGCCATTTGAGGGGACTTTGTGGCTTGTCCCTAACATAGGAGGCTCCGAATAGATGGATTGTGCTCTTTAATCACTAAAAAGAGGCATTGAATATGTCTCGTATCAAAATTAGCATCACCTAATGGTGAGCTCTCCCGGGTAGGGCTAAATCGATGTCGATCCTGATTCCATGCTCAAGGCACGAATAAGGAGTTTCAAACAGATGTCTTATACTAAGAGAGAATTAACATTGTCTCATACCATTTAAGTGCACATCCCATATATATGAAATAAATAAGTGATGTCAACAAGGGCATTGCAGTATAATAATATAGGCCTTCACTTATGATGAAGGTAGTCTTCTCCACATTGACCGGGAACATACTGATTTCATAGTAGCAGAAGAAAGAATCTAAGAAGCTCATTACTAACTATTCGACTATAAAGTCCACTAGTTCATTGATCCTCCATAGGGGGTAGCTATTGATCCCGACTGTTTATATGCAACAATATAACAATGTATTTGACTATATTTTTCACTTATCTTTCCTTACTTTGCATTAGTACCAAAGACTTGATCCTGGAGAAAATAAAAATTTAACTTTTTAACTTAATATATATTGGGATACTACGTAAGTATACACATCTTTATGAAGTAATATATGACTTTTTGATTAAGCTCCGATTATCAAACACACAGGAATTGTTCACAGTATGCGATAAATTAAAGTAACCAAACTTTCTACTTTAAAAGGACAAATACTTAAACTATATTTTTTATCACAGGAATGAAATTTGAACTCTTTTTGGTATTTTTAATATCTGAAAATGACATAAAAACTTAATAAAGATAACTTGAGTTTATGTAAAAGAAAAACATTGAATACAAAATATCTTTCTCTTTATCATGAATCAGTAATAAATATAGGAATTCTGTTGTAGGAGTATTCAAATTATGTTGTGCCAAATAGGAGCAATATTATTCTTTACCCTTACTAGAGAAGCTAGAAAGAACACTGACTAATTTAAAGTTTGAATAGTTCTGAAGACCAGTTAGGCAGGGAAGATACTAGCTCTCACTCTAGAGTTCTCTCGATTCCCTCTACCTAGGGGCTAACATCTCGTATCAAAACCTAAAACAATAAACCAAATTGGGGCTTTAGCCTGTCACTCTAAATTCCTCTAACTCTACACCCTTCAAAGATTATTTCCTTATTTATTTGCACTTAATCATATGAACTACATTCTCATTCATACAATCTCATGTGATTCTTTCCAATTATTGAATGAGACAATACGAGCCTAGTTTTTACATGTTCTCACAACAAACTTTAACATCTAGATGGGTCAGATCAAGAAGTAAATGAAGTGCATGGAAATAAATCATCACTACTTCTTCCAACATTAAAAATTAAAACTCACCACAACTTCCATCCAACACTTTAATTACTTATCATTTTAAGGAGAAAGATAAAGAAAACTACTCATAATCCATAGAAAAACAAAACCATACTTTAGTTTAAAAATAGAAATCATTTTCAAACCA